ATATGCTTATCTAATTCCCTTTTGAAGTCGTCCATGCTTGTAGCTGCCACCACTTTCTGTGGCCGTGAATTCCATGTGTTAATCACTCTTTGGGTGAAGAAGTACTTCCTTTTATCCGTTCTAACCCGACCGCTCAGCAATTTCATGGGTCATCTCTAGCTTCAGCGTTCGATGGCTCCTCAACACAGGACACCAATCGGGCCTCCCCACGTTGCATGGCTCCATAGCCTATCTTCATGCTAGCCAGGTGACTGACTACAGGACATGAACGACCCTCCTGGGACATATGGGTGTTGCAAGTGCCAGGGCTTTCAGCCACACTTTTTCACTCGCCCCACAGGCTAGGTGAGCGCAGGGACCGGGTTCAACTTCCCAAGGGAAGTGTCTTCCTTCTTGTGGAGCTGTTTTTCATTCAGGCTACACAGCCCACACATTCATCCCCTTCAACTCAACCTGCTGAAAAGGTGATTGCAAGGCGTAACAGTGCCAATCCCACCAGTGTGGTGGTCGTGGGGGTGGTTCCCAATTCCAGTCAACCTCAGATTTCACTGAGGGGTGGGCTGTGACTAGAGAAAACGCATGCTTGGAAAGTTGGGACTGGGACTGTTCCTCCACCGGCAATTACCCACTGGCCATCCCCTTTCACTCACACTAGCGGCAAGGTGAGTCCAGTGCGAGGCCAATTCCCCAAGGCAACTAGGAGGAAGGTTTTCATTGTCACACAGCATTTCTTCCCTGGCTCCAGAGAGTCCTCCAGAGCCATCCCCTTTTCACTTTCCCCACTAGCAAGAAGATGGCAGTACATGGCCAACCCTTTCTGGGAGTAGGATGTTGGCGGATGACAGCAGGTGTGAGCCTGAGCCACACTTTCCAAATGCGAGCCCTCTCTCTCTCTCTGTGTGTTCCTTGGCTTTAGGTTGTTCGGCTTTGAGCCACTCACTGGCCCCGCCATCAAGAATAGATGATGATGACTGCTGTGCATAGCCAAGGCTTTCCCATCCTAGGGCCTAGTTCTCGAGTTGTGTGGTGGCCTTTCCATTTCGATCTCCCTTTCTTGATCTCTAAACCATCAACTCCATCTTCTCAGTTGGGGTGGACCCTGGGAACACAATGAGAGACAGCACAGTGCTCTCGGCCTGGGCCCTGGCAGTAGGGCAGGAGCAGGGTTGGTCCTGCCCTGCAATCACTTTGACAGTTGGGGTGGTCCCCAGGGACTTGGGGAGTCAGCCACCTGCCTTGCGGATGGCTCAAGGGCCCAAAAAGGGCAGGAGGGTTGGCCCTGTTCTGCAATCACCTCGCCTGCAGAGGGTGGGTGGGCCTGGAGAATCAGCCACCTGCTGTGTAGGTGGCCCCTGGGTCCAAGACAGGCCGGGGAGTCAGCCACCCGCACTTGTCTGGGGCAGGACGGGAGCACTGGCCCTGCCCTGTAGTTGTGCCGCCTACAGAGAGGGCGGGCTCGGGTGGAATCACAGCCCCCTGCTGTGTGTGTGGCTCCCAGGCCTGGACAGGGCAGGGGGGTTGGCCCTGCCCTGTAGTCAGTCACCTCGCCTGCAGAGGAAGGGTGGGCTTGAGGAGTCAGCCACCTGTTATGTGGGTGGCTCCCGACCCTGGGCAGGGGGGAGGGTTGGCCCTGCTCTGTAATTGCCTTGCCTGTGGAGGGGTTGGTCCCAGGGAGTCAGCCATTTGCTGTGCAGGTGGCTCCTGGACTCAGGGCCAGGCAGGAGGATTGGCTCTGTCCTGTAAGCTTGCCTGTGGAGGGAGAGTGGGCTCAGGGAGTCAGCCCCTGCTGTGTGGGTGGCTCCCAGGCCCAGACAGGTTGGGAGGGTTGGCCTTGCCCTGTCGTTGCCTTGCCTGTGGAGAGGGCAGGCTCGGGTGGAGTCACAGCCCCCTGCTGTATGGGTGGCTCCCGGGCCTGGGCAGAGGGGTTAGCCCTGCAGTCATCTAGTCAGTGGAGCGAGGGTGGGCACCACCAAGGACACATCCACACGCAACAGTGCCGGTAACACTTCCCTCCCACGCACTTCCGGGGGAGGAGGGGGGTGTCCATCCTGAGGAGATCCACTGCAAGTCTGATAGCTCTAGCTCACACAGGGTCCATCCTTTTTGTTCTATAGTCCAGAACCCACACTTGACGATGTTTCCCCAGAAAGTACTTTCCTGGGGGTCCCTTCTTGGGGGAATCGTAACTTGGAACCCTCCAAATTCAATCTTTACATAATTTGGAGGGCATGGGGGGGGGGGCATCCCGGGGAGGTCCACTGCACGTTTAATGCCTCTAGCTCACACAGGGTCTGAACCTGCACCTGTCATTTCCCCAGAAAGCACGTTCCTGGGGGCACCTCTGGGGAGCTGCAACTTGGAGCCTGCAAATGCAACCTCCACAAAACTTGATAGGCAGGTAGAAGAGAGGCAGCTGGAGATCCCTTCGAGTTTGGAGTCTCTAGGACCCCAGGGGCTGTTCTTTCATGTCCTGAACTTACCATACTGGTTCGGATCAACAGAGGCCATTTCAGTTCAGTTCGGGTGACTGTTCGAACCCTGAACTGACTTGCCTTTTTTGGTTCACGCCTATCTCTAGTAATAGGCTTCTCAGTTGCAAGGACCAAGTCCAACATTTTACAGCTGTGTCGTGAGGGAGATAAATCACCACTGGCTCCGTCCACACTTTACACCAGTGCATGGGCAGGGGCGGTCCAACATGTAAACAGTATTTGCAGACACACAAATGACAGAGGCAGCACTGCAAGGAGTGGATAGTTCATCACTGACTTTTGTCAATAGGAGAATTTTCTTTTTCTAGGCTATTCAGGGGTGTGCACGTGCATGTATGGGGAGGGCCCCCCTCTGTTGGTTTGAAAAAACAGGATATTAGGGGAAATCAAGGGCAAATTATCTAAACAACTTTCAATATTAAAGGTCAGCTTCTGTTCCCAGACATACAAGAATTAAAGATAAAGCAATGGCGTTCCTGGCTCCCTCCTTTTAGACCAATGACTTCTTTCTTTAGCTGATGTAGACGTAGAGAGAAAACAGTGAAATGCAGAAAACATGCATTTCAAGATGATAGAAGAAATCGGTCCCCCCCCCCCCCCCCCAAATTGTATACTATAAAAAATGTGTAGCTTGGATCCTATACCTCCGCTTCATAAATGTTTCCTTCCGGGCACTATGGGGGTGGTCCACTGCTACGAAGTGCGTTACTCTCATGCTTTGGGGCTCCTTGGAAAAATTGGTGTAGCACAAGGAGAAGTGCCTAGTGCCAGAAGAAGTCAACTCCACAGTAGAGGACCACCTCCACTGTGCCCAGAGAGAAGAGTGTGTGGAGCAAAGGGTATAGGATCCAGGCTTTAGTGCTTTATCAACTGAATAGCTTTTTAAAATACTGGGACACCCTATCATTGCAAATATTACATTTATCAATCATTATTTTAACATTACCTCATCAGGAGCTCCACTGCCTGGGAAGAAATTCCCATCATCATACCGATGTAGTGAAATATAAAGTACACTTGGATCACTGTAGAAAGCCTGCTGAGTACCATTGCCATGATGAACATCCTTCAGGAACAGAAATTGTATTAAAGGAGAAGAATTATTATATTGTCATCAAAATTAATTTTAATAAACTAACTACTTTCATTGCTCTTTCTCAAAAAATCCTGTTTATGGAAAGGCTGGATGTAGGGAACTATGGGTTGCATAATTATACTCACACAAGCCCTGATTTCAGTAACACCAATGAGTGGCTAACAGCCACAAAACCTCAAAATAAATAAGACATTTTCACAAATGAATCAAAACAGGCTATGACAGTTTGCAGCTCATTTTGCTTCTTCATGGTAGGAGACACAAACTAGGTAGAGACTGACTGTTTTTCAGCCTTTTAGATGTCAGAGAGGGGTCTGAATGCTTTTAGCTACAACCATCAGGAGAGCTTACTTGAAGGACAATCCGACTCTTCCAGTTAGCTGAATCTTTGAGAAAGGGAAGCTGGTCTTAATGCAAAGTTCCCTTAGTTTAGATAAGGAAGGACAGCAGCAGGGAAGGATAAGCTTTTTCTCTAAACCAAATGGCAGGGAGAGAACGATGGTATAAACTCAACTGTAAATAAAAAACACAGCCTGACGACAGGCCCAGTTTGAAGAATATAAAGAAGATCCCAGAATTCTCCTGCAAGTTCTTTGGAGAGGTGCACAGAAATGCTCTAAATAAATACATGTCATTTTTGTCACTGCTCTCGATGGCTGTTAAGGTTCTCAAGCGCCTCTCCCAGGACAATGAAGTGGGGGAAAGGGATGCATGTGTGTCATGAAGATCTCTGTAGTTCTAGGGAGTGCTTCAGACATATTGTTCTGAGAATCCTCCGGACCATTTCGGCAGCCTCTCACTAGGTTACACTTATGAAGTTTTTATTACATAAATTATGCATAAGGAATAACCTATATTGCTTTTTTTTTTTTTTAACAAAGTTCAGGACGAACAAAGCCTTGGAAAGAAGGATGGAAGCAGCTGAAAAAATCAAACTGATTGTAGTCTACTGCTATGATTATTCTAAGTATTACCTTTGCTTTACTTCTGTTGTAGCTCCACTCTCTCCACTGTTTTATAGCTTTACTTCTGCTGTAGCTCCACTCTCTCCACTGTTTTATAGTATACTGTGCCTTAGGCAGTTTATTGTTTTTGTTGTCTTCTAATGTTGTAATACTAGTTCTGTTGCATTAGAAATGTTATGATCATGAGTCATTTCCTACGGGAGCGCACAGGAGCGGAGCTCCAGCAGTAAGGAGCCCAGGGGCGGGCACATGCAACAAGCCCTGCCCCCTGCTCCCAGCAGCCCTCAGTCTTCCCCGCCCCCATAGCTAGCAATTCAAAACAGTCTAGTGGCACCTTTAAGACCAAGTTTTATTCAGGTACAAGCTCTCCCTCCTCTGCGGGGAGAGATCTGCGCGTTCCCCGCCCCCATAGCTAGCAATTCAAAACAGTAGCACCTTTAAGACCAAGTTTTACTCAGGTACAAGCTCTCCCTCCTCTGTGAGGACAGATCTGGATGCCCCCCCCCAATAGCTAGCAATCCAAACCAGTCCAGTGGAGTCTGAGCAGTGGGTGTTGCCTTCTGACACACTTCCAGTGAGGTCAGGGGGTGTGGCATATGCAAATAAGTTATGCTAATAAGTTATGCTAATGAGTTCCTGCACCTCTTTTTCTACGAAATGACCCCTGGTTATGATGTATGACTGCATGGGTTTTTTTCTTTTGTTTATTCTTTAATCTGCATTGTTTGTAATCTAATTCTCTAATCATCATCCTGCAATTACTGATTGTATGTCAGATGCTGTAATGACAGCATTTTTAAAAAAAATCTGTGATCAGCTTGAGCCTCAGCAATAAAATCAGAGTATAAGTAAATAAAATAAAGATGAGATGATTGCCAGGTATTTTTCCTGTCTGATCCTCTTTCTGCATCCCTCCAGCATATGTTGCGATTATACTGGAAAGTGGTTTCACTCACCCAGTCCACTATGAGGATTTTGCTCACATTCAGTCTTTGCTGAAGAAGTTTAGCTGAAATCGCCACAGAATTGAAATAGCAGAACCCCCTGAAAAACAATGGAATATATAAGTTTTCCTGAGGACACAATACATTAATATTTGTCTTTGCTGAGAATCTAGCCTGGATGTGATCACAGCACAGACCGTCACTACCAGATTCCACTTTTGAGGATCTGTTGCATCAGCCAAAACCGATAAAAGCACTACATTCCATGGAGGAGACTTGAATCACAACTGCAAGTCAAGATCCAACAGTACTACCAAGCAATGAACCTGCTTCCTCAGGCCCTGGGAGAATCCAACTAGGGATAGGCATGAACCGGCTGATGAAATAAAGTTTATCATGAATTTTGGCCGGTTCGTGGAACAGCAATCAAGAATTTAAGAACAGCCCTCAACTTTCACAAATTTTGATGCAGTTCGTGGTGGTTTGTGAAGAGCTCTTATGCAGTAGCCAAATCACTCGCTAGCTCATAAAGTAGAATTTTTGGTCACAAGACTCCACAGCTTAGAGGGAGCATTGCTGATAAGGCATTTAAATGCCTTCCGAAGGCATTTAAACTAAGCTGTTTTTTATTAGGAACTGATGCGTTTGCTACTCTGTCCCTTGAAAGAAAGGGCTAGAAACAGGCTTGGAGCCTCCCCCTTTAAAGATATGCATTCAGATTAATTTAATTAAGTGTAATTTACCTGCCCCCTAAAAAATTAAATGCCCCCCAAACAAAAAAATCTTGGCTACGGGCCTGTGCCTGACTAGCTTGGGGAATAGTGTCAATAATTAATATTTCTTGGCATATTTTGGTGTGCAGGCTATAAGTAAGGAGTGGCAAAGTTACTGCTCCAAGGCTGGTACCATGGTGGGACTTCCCACTCACTCACAAACTCTTAGGGAACACCAATATGTGTTAAAGGAATGAGAATGAGTTAATAAGTTGCAGTTCAGCTTCAATAATGCCATGTGGAGAGATGACCTCCACCCTAGGATTCACCCCAATTAATTCAAACACTGGGAATGTTCTCTGTCTATGAGTAGAGACCTGGCTGCAAACTCTTAGCTGGTAAAATGGAAAGGGGCCAGATAATCAGCCATCAAGCCCCAAGCACATTGTGCTTATAGATGAAAATGGCTGGCCAAAGTAAGGAAGAGGAGACATAAAAAAGATGGTGCAATGGGAAGAAAAAAATCATTTCACTTGAAGATCTTTACGTAGTTTGCATGCAGCCTTTGTCGGGGGATCTTCAACAATATATACAAAAACAGATTAAAAAATCTTTCATTATCGAGCATAAATGTTACAGAAGATTAAAAACCGAAGACAGACAATTCCTATATAAATACAAACTAAACAAGATATAACTATTTTACAGGACCCAAACTTTTGTCTTATCTAAAGAAGAAGGCGCTGATGTTCTTTATATAGCAGGCCTACGTATTAGTCAGACCGAGCTATCTCTACATACTTGCAAAGTCATAAACCATATAAAGTTGACACAAACATAACCTCCAAGTTGAAATAAAGTTCTCTAAGTTCATGTCACCAACCTGCAGAGCAACCCATCTCCCAGAGTGTTCTCACTGTATTAAGGCTAAGATTTATCGTCACAACAGGTGTTTAAAAACTGGACTCTTGTTTAACTCCTGAGGAACTATGGTTTGAAGTAGGGGTGTACAAAAAAACCTGGCAATTTTTGGCTCAGATCTATTGGACCTGAAAAAAATTGGTATTGGGATCCTGGATTATTTTGGAAATCATGAATTTTTTTTGGGTCCAATAGACCTGCCAAGAAAAATACCCATTCCTTCAAAAAGTCAGCTCGCCCCTGGGGCTGGTTGGGCTTCTCCTGCAGCACAGTTTAAAGGAGAAGCTGACCCCAGGATCCGCATGTGGTGGGGAGGTCTCTCCCTGCCGCATGCAGACCCGGCTGGTAGGGCTTTCCTTGCGGTGTGTTTTAAACCACGCTGCAGGAGAAACTGTTGCAGGATCTGCATATGGCAGGGAGTTCTCAGGTCCCACCACCTCAGCCAGTCCTGGCCTGGGCCATCTTGCAGCTCATTTTAAACTGAGCTGCAAGATGAGTCAGCCCCAGCTGACTGCACTGCACTGCAAGAGAGAATCAGCTGGGGCAGCGGGAGCTGAGAGCTCCACACCGCCTCGGCTGGTATAGCTGAATGTACCCGAATAAAAGCCACCCTCAGCTTTTATTCAGGCTCAGCTATACCGGTAACTGATCAGATTAATTGAATCTCTATTCGGCTTAAATAATACCCCCAAAATACCACAAAGGTATTTTTCCCAGCTCAGTTTAATATGCCGAATGCACACCCCTAGTCTGAAGATCCATTCCACTTTTTCCTCCGTAGAAACTTGTCATGACTCATCACTTTTTCAGCAGCCCAGAAGATGATGTCAGCGGGACTGTGATTGTGTTCAAGGAAATTTTGAACTGAAGGATCACCTGCTTTTGGTGGGAAATACTGCTTTTGTGTTCAGCAATATGTATTTTGAGATTCCTGGATGTTTTCCTCACATATATCTGATTGCAAGGGCACTTAATGATGTAAACAAGCTGTCTGGAATTACATGTGGGGAAATGTTTGAACACATATTGTTTTCTACCTAAGGAATTTAAAAATTCCTTAATGGGTACATGTAAACTTAAAGTATGTGCAGTTCCCACAGCAAAAATCATCCTGTGGTAGGCTGGCTCCTGGTAAAATTGGCTGAGTGCTGATGAGTAAAGTTGCACTGCAGTGTACTAATATTATCTCTATTCTGAAATAAAGCCTTGAAATATGATAGCTGTAATGTATGCTTAGGATACCCTCTAGTGGTCAAATTATGTCCCAAAATGAGGGCCACTTTCTTGAAGTCTTGCAGCTTAGTACAATTCCTCCTTCAGAAACTGACTGTATGATAAACTTCTTAAAAACTCCTGGGTGCTGACTATGAATCTTAAAAAGCATTTCTCAAATGTAGGGTTTTTTGTTCAGCTCTTCCTGTCCTTGATATGAACCATAATATCCTGGAAATTTATCTGCTCCTTATCATATGTAATTCAGACTTTATATTCTCATTTCGCTGATCTTACAAGTTATGAACATATAGCAGCTGGCCCTGGTTTCCTCTACACAGTAAGGCTACATCATTAATATAATGCAACCATTTATTTATTTAGGTCATGTTTCTCCATATAATATGGACCCAAAGTGGCTTACAATACAAAATACTAAAAAAATATATTTCCAGATGTACAACATAAGCAAGTTCCACAATTACTACTTGCCATTAACAAACTCATTCATAAGACAAGACTGCAAATTGCATAAAAGGATTATCACTAAATTGCTGCTCAAATTTGCCCATATATTAGTTAGCAACCTCTGGTGCCATATCCTTTTGTCTGCCAAAAGAATTTGTTTCTGAATAAAAATAAATCCTGCTAAAAATAAGTAGGTGTTAACAGTGCTGTGTGTTATTCAAAGTATTCTCTATTGCTAATAGTGCTTCTGTCCGTGGAATACTGGTATAAAGAGAGATGGCATCCAAAGTGACTACAGAACTTGCAATTCAATGCTGGTAATTTCACCTAGTTTGTTAATAAAGTCTGTGATATCCTTCATGTAAGATGGCATCACTGAGACAAAGGGTCTAAGAAAGAAGCCAAAATACTTAGACAGTGGTTATAAAACTGAATTGCGGCCAGAAATCAGCAGTCTTCCAAAAGGAGGGAAATAGAGGGAAATAGAGTTCTACGATTAGGACTACTGAAGAATTATCTTTCCCACAGAAATATACTCCATAGTGATATGCTCTTGAAGGAAGGTCCTAATTTCAGTTTGTAGGCACTTCACTGGGTCAAAACTGCATGAAATACAGTAATGTCTGGTTGTGAAGCTGCCTCCTAACTTCAAATTTCATAGTCCTGCCTATTCTGTATAGCAATAGCTCCCCCCTATCTGCTTCTTTAATGGTAATACTTGCATCATGAACAAAGCTGCTTATTGCCCTCCTCACTATTATTTAAGTTGCTCCGTCTGAGTTTAGAATTCTTTTCTAATTTTCCCAAGTCTTGGAGAATCTTACTGTCAAAGACTCATATTGCAGGTGGAATTGGACCTGGGGGACATAAAGCGAGGGTGGAGAGGACAGCTGGATTTAAGTTTAGTAGCTGGACAGCTAGGTTCAAGCCTAGCTGCTGCACTGCAGACCACTACCTGCTGAAACTATCTTCAAGCGTGGAAAGGAGTAGAAGTGGAATGCTCTAAACATATATTGTCTTAAAAAAAATGCCTTAAGCCTTAAAGTTCTAATAAATTTAAGGATAGCCAACTGTGTGTTTATTGAATCGTACTGTAGAGTCAACAGAAAAGACAAATCCTTTTGAGAATCTTCATCTTAAGTGCAGATAAAACCCTGTACAAATAGCTCAGTATGAATATATGTAGGTCTGTTAGACGTAAGAACCTCAACTACTTCATCTTTGGATAAGACAAAGTATTTTTGTGGTATCAAATAGTTTGTATGTATAAAATAGTTTTATCATGGTTAGCTCGAATTTTTATATAAATTGTTTGTCTTTGGGTCTTAATCTCCTCTAATATTGATGCTGGAATACTGACTTTAAACAATTATTATTTTTTGCATACACTGTAGATCCCGATGAAGTTGTGTGCGAAACATGTAAGGATCTTCAAGTGAAATAGAATTTCTTTTCCCATGGCAGGATCATTCTTTTTCTTCTTTTCCCTGATTGTACATTGGTACAGCCCTATTTTCTGTTGGATGAAGCGAGAGCAAGACGTTTAAATATGCATGCTTGTTTCCTATTTTAATGGGAAAATGCCTCCAGCATAATTCTGGAGAGGTGGCATAAAAACCTCCCAATTAATGAATTAATTGCTAGGCAGAAATTTCTTCCTCTTGAAGCAGGAAGATCCCGATGACCAGGGTGGGGATGGACTCCTGAGATTATGAATTCACAGGGCACAAGGAAGAACTCTCTCTTATCTTATGGCTTTTGACCAGGAGGGTGCAAGCCATGAAGAGCGAAGACGGTACCTGGGTATTCCATCTTGTCCACATTGCTAGGGACAATGGGGAGAACTTTCAGCTCTGAGAACTCAGATAAAGATGGACTTTTAAACTGCAATAACATTAATAATCCTAATAAGGCACTGTACAGGGCAATTATAGAATTTAGGGGCCAAAACACCACCACAATAAAGTATTTAGCATTAGGAAAACCTCAGGATCCAGTGTCTTTAAAGCAATTCAGTGCCAGGCCGTGTTTCTCACTCCATATGTTGCTTTCTTTCATACATCGGTCTAACAATTTAAGTAGGCACCCAACACATACTTACATAGGTGTACTTTCTTCTGCGTGGTGGCCAGGAGGTCGAACTACAGCAAATCCATTCTACCGAAACAAAACAAAGAAATGGTGTGGGATGCAGAGAGAAGAAGAAAAAAAAACACCCCGCATGTACTTCCAACAAGCTTGATAAGCTTACAGTGAGTTGCTGAAATACTTTTGGAAGAACTCTGCCATTTTGTTTAATAGGTAGATTTTAGTACAGAGTACAGAGGAGAAGGGCAAGCAAGCATTACACTTTATAACGATAAAGGTGGCTGCCAGAGTCTCGGAAAAAGTCTGGTCGCATTTACAGACTTCTTTTATATAAGATGCAGTGTGTATGTGCAGGGGGCAACATGTGATTTCTGTATTTCTGTCCCCAGATATGGATTAAAATTTGGTTTTAATTCGTCCGTGCACCCAGTCTCTCTCCTGATTGCTACATTGATGTCCACTTGTATCTCTGTTATCTCAAAAACAAACAACAACAAAAACACGTAACAAGCAAGAAAAATGATGAAAACCCACAAACCTTCATGGTCCACTCCCATGTTCAAGCCCTGAACAAGTTATACACCGGTGCAACCCCACACTCTTAACAAATGGAGTGTGCCAGAGGAAGAGCCAAGCTTAGAATCCTACGACTCTCCCGCCCAAGTCCTGATCCAGCACTGACACAGTTATGCCAGTGAAAACCCTGGTGTAAGTACAGACACTCCTAATGAACCTAACTGGGGGGGTGTAGAGAGTGGGATTTTTGATCCTGCTACTACCTTCAAAAGACTCAAGAATGAGATACTTTGCCACAAGTCACTATTAATGTGATCTGTCTTATTTCAAATACAGCTAATGCAAGCCCATGTCATACCGCTCTAATATCCTGCCCCAACTAGAATCACTAGTGGCATTTCCCAACACTTTTCAATGACAGGCCCAAGAAGAGTGCATTAAAGATATCAGGGCTTGTGGGAAAGAGAAACATGACTAGAGGTTGCCAGGTACTGGTTTCATGTCTTGTAATAATGAGTGAGCTCAGTTGGTACTAACCTGAGTCACAGGATATCTAAGCAGTGGTCATTATAATTGTACTCCAAAATAATACAAAAAGGAAACTCCTAGCAGAATTTCCGAGTGGTGTTCTGAATCTTGGCTCATCTACACTTTATACGTTTATAGATTTCAAGAAGGGAAAGGACTATGAAACATTCTCTAAATCAATCTTACATCAAGACGAGAACCAAACCAGAAATGGTCTTGCACTAACCTTCAGTTCTCCTGTAGCCACTTTAAAAACAAGCTCTATTACGCAGCCAACAGCAAGGCGAGCAGCACTAGACGAATGTACTTCATTCCAAATTGTATCGCTGTCAACCTAAATGAAATGAATCAACAGGTACAATAAAGTCATATCTGTTGTCAACAGAGAGCTGCTATGTTATGGGTTTAAATGGAAACATTGCCACTGTAGTACTGAATGATATAATCAACAGGTTCGGATAGCACAACCCTTGCTGTTTTTGCCCTATGAGGGCAATTATTCTACAAAGTAAACTCTTGCGGCTAAGATTAATTCCACTGGAATATACACAGCAGGAAAATAAGGAACAAACTTAAACAATGTCAACATAAAAAAGAAGTATTTCATTCTACCACATAAATACATAAATCTGAGATCCGTTCCAGGTTATACTTCACGCCTCAAATGAAATCAATTTGAATTATTGTAGCAAATGACGCCAACAGTTGTTTATAAGAAAGACAACCAGCTTGAGTTCTTGATGATACTGTGGTATGGACACTGGTCATGGTCAACATGTCAAATATTGCCAAATGGGACTGCCTATTATTTGACCGAATATTATGTGGTCAACAATGCCCCTGTGCAGGTGGTAGCCTACCTTTCCCCTGCATGATAAGTTTTAGCTGATGAGAGGTGTGGGAAAACTGAGTTGCACTTAACTGTAACCGTCAAGTGGTCATCAGCACAGTTACAGATGGGTATGGTAAACATGCAGGACAGCCGTGCAAGATTCTACAGTACATTCAAACGTAAAGCTCTCCCCTCTCCCCTCCCTGTTCACCATCCCCCCCACACATCAGTTTGGACCCTACAGCGAAAGCATTCTATGTAGAGATCCAGTGTGGCGCTGCGACCATCAGGAGGGGCCATGTGGAGTCTCTTTTTTGTAGCATTGTTTCGATGGTATATGGTGATAAGTATCTTATTCATTGGTGGGTTGGAGGGATGGTAGCTGTTCTCCAGTAGACTGTGTCATGGTATGTTGTGAAGATGCCGCCTGGTTCTTTCTTGTTCTGTTCTTGCATATGTTGAAAGCACTCCTTCAGGCACTATGCATGAACCTCTCCTGATGGTTGCAATGCCACACTGGATCTCTACGTAGAATGCTTTCACCGTTGTGGGTAAGGATCAGCGATATGGCATACCAGTCCTGGTTCTGGCCACATCCAGACTCTGTCAACATAGGGTTGATCAGTGACTTTGGTACACCACGAGTCCTGACCTTTGCACATCCTGAAACTGCAAGCAAGTCTTAAGATACTATGCAAGCATTTTAGGCATTCTGCCTAAGTATCTTTTTTTCCCTGTTTCTGTACGTGCAAGCCACAGCCTCACCTCATGGTGTGTGTGTGGGGGGGGCAGAATGTGTATAAATAAACTCTTGCTGCTTTTAAGCGGCAGACAGATTTTCTACCCCAAAGAGATCGTGTCTTGTGTGAGTCCTTCACACCGTAGGATCCAAACCTATATGACCAACAAACAACATTGTGTACAACAGAATCTCAACCATGCTGAAAGGAAGGCCATAAACAGTCCCAGGAACAGTCCAGATATTATAATTAAAGAGGCAGACAAAGGTGCCTTTGACAAAGGTCCTTTCAGACCACAGAAAAGTGCAGCTCTGATGACTGAAGAGACTCACCTTCACCCCCATTTCCTGCCCCAATATGGTATCCTGATCTGCAGGGCTATTAGTGGATACGGATCCTACAATCCCCAGAATAAACATTCCCATGGCTGAAAAGGACTGCTGGAGGGATGGGAATGCAGGACAGATCCAACCCCTTATTACACCCTAAAGCACACAGAATTACTAAAACAAATATAGATAAGAATTCCACAAATGTCTTAGTATCTGTAGTACTTCTACCTCCTGTGTGGTATAAAAGGAGTAATTGTCTAATCAACATGTGCAAGTCTGTTGCAGTACATAAGATAAACAGAGCGTTATTTACTCATGTAACAGTACTTACGCCAATGCCACCACAAGGGAGCCTGACAAACATTGATGTTAGAGAACCTGCAGGAGGGAGAGTAGAAGTCATTAAAATTACCTAATTCTATGCTTATAGAGCAAAGTTATATACTTAAAATTTGTAATTGAAAATATTTATTAGCATACAATAAGCTGCATCTGAAAAAATTGCTACTGAAGGAACTGATCCAGTCACAAAATCCTACTAATAATGCAGAGTTACACCTTCATAAGTCCACTGAAGTTTTGGATGGCTTTGTAAGTATTGCACGTATGACAAATATCTCTGAGCTCACTAGCCTCTTACTTGTACCACCACCCTTCAACTTACCAATTTCATCCACTCTCCCATTGTAACTGCCAACACCTTCAGTCTCCAGTTACACCACACCAATTTCACTGGCAATCACACCACTGTGGTAACATTTGAAATGGCCCTCTGTTTGCCTCAGAATAGTACATTACAAACCAATTCATATTAAGAAACACTTGTATTAAGAAATGCCTAAGCTTTTCTTGCTAAACTGGTAGCAACTACCAGAAAAAGGTACTCTAGCTCCTACCATTAATATACTTCATGTTTTGTCCAGATAATAATCCTCATAGGATATGGCTCTATTCCTAAATATTTGGCAATATATGGAAATACAAAGCAGTTAAAGAACTGACCATTGTTGCTATCATTTTTTTACCATTTTACTAGTTTTTCTAGCATTCTAATAGCACCAATTTGTATTGCCTTTGAGAAGGGCGTGAAAAGATTTTGCCAAAATCTGTTCTCAGAATGATTGTACCAGAAATATACTCATTTCCATTTACAATTGTTGAAATGTCAGCCTTTTGTTAACAAACGCATTATGTGTCTCATTAAAATCACACTGTGTTACTTTTTAAAATGCAGGATTAATTCAAATGTCTCACAAGTTGAAATATGAATAGCAGAAGTTCCTAATCAAACGTGTCGACTCATTATAAAAGCAGGAAGGTCACTATGATGACATGAGTTCTCTCTAAAACTATGTCAGGCACAAATTAAAGCAGTTAAAGAACTGACCATTGTTGCTATCATTTTTTTACCATTTTACTAGTTTTTCTAGCATTCTAATAGCACCAATTTGTATTGCCTTTGAGAAGGGCGTGAAAAGATTTTGCCAAAATCTGTTCTCAGAATGATTGTACCAGAAATATACTCATTTCCATTTACAATTGTTGAAATGTCAGCCTTTTGTTAACAAACGCATTATGTGTCTCATTAAAATCACACTGTGTTACTTTTTAAAATGCAGGATTAATTCAAATGTTTCACAAGTTGAAATATGAATGGCAGAAGTTCCTAATCAATCGACTCATTATAAAAGCAGGAAGGTCACTATGATGACATGAGTTCTCTCTAAAACTATGTCAGGCACAAATTATATTTTGTTCTTTCAAAAATTTAATTGGATTTACTTCGAATAAATGTGAAGAAGATTGGACTGCAGTAGGAAATAAGCCCCAATGGATTTACTTGTGAGTAAATGAATAGGAGTGGGCTTTAAAAAGCATTCTAATATTATACCCAAGATCCCCATCAGGTATAAGCCTTTCACAATAAAATTTTATTTAAAAAACCACCAAAAAACCCAGGTATACGCCTTTCAATTTCTAGAGCTATGTAACTACCTTTATAAATAGTCATAATGCTTTAATAATTTTCCTGTTATTCTATCAAAATTATATGAGTCTGATACAGAAGAACTAACGTTAGTTCTAGATAGTATGAGATGTACTAACCATCATTAAGGATAAGACATTTTCGTTTTCAGATTTATAAACACATCATAGATCTCTGTATATTTTAAAAAATGTTATTCTTCATGGTTTTCAGGACAATAATCTTCTGCTTTCCTCATTTTGTTCTTCCACTGCTGTTGTGTGTTACATTAAAATAACATGTCAGTGCTTGGTTTTGCTTTTTTTTCTTCCACCCAGTTATATCAAGGGGCTCCTTGAAGGATTTGGAAGCTCTGAACAAGCACCCCACTCTGTAAGTACAGCTCCCATGAACAGATGAGCATCAGAGTCTGTTCCCATTGGCAGCTTATGGGCACATGGAATATGCAGAATTTTAGATTGCATCCCAGATAGACAAGAGTACACCATCAGTGAATCCTATCTATCTATACATCAAACTGCACAAGTTGATGAACAGTTAAAGAACACTGAATTCCATTCTGTACCTAATAGTTTCTTGCTATCCAATTTCTGTCTGTTCAGAGGATTGGTACCATAAAGCAATGCATGAGCTTCTGAATGAACAGTCTGTAGCTCTTCTAGTGTTGCTTTTCTTCCACGGATACACTGCAGGAGAAATTGAAAGAATGAAATTACATTTGCTTTAATTATATATGAGCCAAAAAAGAAAGGAGAAAATGCAAAATTTGGTCAGAAGTCTAACTTCCAGAGAATTCGTATCAAATGTGTTTATATCTCTTCAAGCTAAAAGTTGGAATGCTTCTTCATAAAACCTATTACAGATTATCTGTAAATACAGAAATGGGATAGTGCTTGCCGCATTGGTGAGGCCTGATGCTGAAGACAAGCTGCTCAGAAAAATATGGCCCACCACATGTAGATTTGACCCTTGCTCTTCATGGCTGATGGTTATGGAGTTGGCGGGGTTGGTCAAATATGTCTGGGAGGTAATAATTGCCTCTCTGCAGGAGGGAGTCGTTCCCACTGCCTTAAAAGAGGCAGTTGTGCAACCCCTCCTGAAGAAGGCATCCCTGGACTGCACTGACCTAAACAATTACTGCCCACTGGCCAACATTCTATTTTGCAGCAATGTTCTTTAGTGGGTGGTGGCTGTGCAGCTTCAGCCAGTCTTGGAGGAGATGGATTATCTGGATCCATTTCACTCTGGATTCAGGCCTGGGTTTGGGATGGAAATGGTCGATGACAGATGATCTTCAATGGGACAGACTGCATCCCAGTTAATTCTCTTAGGCCTGTCTGCAGCACTCAATGCCATCAACCTGGTATCCTCCTGGTGAGGTTGGTTGAGTCTGAAGTTCGGGGGGGGGGGAGTACCCTGCTTCAGTAGACCTGTTCTTACTTGACTGACTAATTTGAGAAGGTGGTTCTGGGGAACTACTGCTCAGCCCCATTGGCATTTATGCTATAGGGTCTTACTGGGCTCCATCTTTCCCCCCATGCTGTTTAGCATCTTTATGAAACTGCTGGGAGAGATCATCAGAGGACTTGGAGTAAGGTGCCACCAATATGTGGATGACACCTAGCTTTACTTTTCCTTAATAGTTGAGGCAGGTGGATCATGAAAGTCCTGAATGGAGGGGGGGTGTTTGGCTAAATCTGAGCTGGGGGGAAAATCCTTATCGGTATTTTGTTTCAGATATTGTTTCAGCTGGATATAGATTTGGGTTATTGTTCGGCTATCCAAAACAGCCAAGCCCTGAATAGTCTAACAAAGGGTGTTTAGAGGGCTTGTGGTCCCATTAAATGCCTTCTTCAAGCCATTCAACTCTGCAGCGAGTGAGTTCCAAAAGCATTTAAAGAGCTTGCAGCGGGTGAACTCGCTGCTTGGAGAAGGTGTTTAAAGGGACTGTGAACCCTTTATACCCCTTCGGAGTTCACTTACCACAAAGTTGCGTAGCTTGGAGAAGGCATTTAAAGGGACCACAATCCTTTTAAATACCTTTTTTCCTCCACTGAAAGCAATGGAGGATGGGGGCACCTTCTTTGGAGTCCCATAGAATTGGACCTCTTAGTCCAATCTTTTTGAAACTTGGGGATTTTTGGGGGGAGATCCACCAGCAGCTATGCTGCATATTTGGTGCCTCTACCTCAAAAAACAACCCCCCCAAGAGCCCCAGATATCCCTGGACTGATTCTCCATTATACCCTATGGGGACTATTATAATGGTTCCCATAGAGTATAATGGAGCAGAAAAAATTCAGGTTTCCCGAATCCAAATACTATATCAGTATTGGGATGCAGGAATATCAGAAAATATCGACACTTTTCAGGTACAATATACCCGAACCTGAAAAATACAGCCCTCCCCCCAACCCTAGTTCCGAACAGGTACCTGGAGACCATAATGGGATTGATGAGGGCCAATAAATTGAAGCTCAGTCCAAACAAGACTGAGATGCTGCTGGTCAATTAAAAAGCTGCTTGAGGACCGAGAAGTCAGCCTGTCCTGAAGGGGGTTGCACATCACATGAAGGAAAAGGTTTGTAGTTTGGACATATTGCTGGATCCTGGCCTATAGTGGGAGGCTCAGATCTCCTCTGGGGGACGTAGTGCTATTTATCAGCTTTGGCTGATACGTCAACTATGGCTGTTTCTCAGAAAGCATGTGCATGTGCTTTATGTGGGGATGCCTTTAAAATGGTCCAGAAACTTTAGTATCACCTCAGTACTAAAAGATCTGCACCAGCTGCCCATTTGTTTCCGGACACGATTCAAAGTGCTGGTTCTTACCTTTAAAGTCCTAACTAGCTTGAGACCAGAGTACTTGAAGGACTCCATTCACCCATATTGTCCAGCCCACCAGTTAAGATCTGCCTCACAAGCTCTGCTCTCTGTACCCCCACGTTCAAAAGTGAGGCAAGTGGCTACTAGAGACAGACTCCAGAAGGAGGGGGGGAAAGCTGGAAAAAATGTTCTGTGGGTGGCCTGTGTAGGCTCAGTCACAATGTGGGGCTGCACTAAAGATGGAAGATGAACACCGTAGGGTCCTGAGTTCTCCCACCCTGCAGGCAGAGGCAATTGCCAGGAGGAAGGCCACCTCATAGGCAATGTTCCCACCTCATAGGCAATGTTCCCTCTAAGATGTGGAGTCCTGTGAGCAAAAATTCTACTTTGTGAGCTACTGGCATTAAAGTTGTGAGCGAGCGATTTGGCTGCCACATAAATTTGTTTGCTCTGGAGCCATCCTTCCTGAGCGAAGACAAAAAATGTATGAGTCGGAGGCTAAAAAACTGTGAGCTAGCCCACACTAACTCAGCTTAGAGGGAACACTGCTCATAGGAGAAGAAAGGCAGGTCACACATGGCAAGGGGCTGAAAAGGGCTTGAACACTAAGGCAGAGAGCACCAGTGAAAGACTCCACTGGGGAACGGGTGGGGGTGTCAGGGGATGAAGGTTAACCAGGAACTTAAGGAAACCACATCCTTTTGGTCCACAAGGGTGCAATTAGAATGCAGTGGGATTTGTCCGCCCGAATTTTGAAGAGAACCTTCCCTAACAAGGGGATCAGGGGAAGGCAAAAAACAGGGTTCCTTGCTATGTCAACTGAAAAGTATCCCCCAGGGAATGGGTATCTGCCCCAGCCAGCGAGCAAAACTGGAGAGACTTGGTTTTCTAAGAGGATCCAACAGGTCCACCTGGGGTTGGCTCCAGTGGCAGAACATGGGAAGTAAGCAGTTGTCCTTGAGAGACCAAGGATGTGTGAGGATGTGGTGTCTCTGCTGAGACTATCTGCTGCCCCAATTGCCAAACCGGTGACATGAATAGCCCCCCAGGATACAATGTCAAAGGAGGGACGCTTTCAAGCAGAGGGAGAGGAAGCCAGTACCTCCCTGCTTGTTTATGTAGAACTTTGTTGTTGTGTTGTCTGTGGATATTAGCACCTGTTTACCGGTTACTAGGGCTGTAAAAGAAACCCAAACATATCTAACTGACCTGAGTTCTAACAGGTTAATCCTCCAATAACAAGAGGACCAGTGGCCACCCCCCCCTCCCCGGCCTGAAAGGGACATGTCAGTAAAGTCTTGAATGTCATGTGAGGGCATCCCAAATGGGGAGCTGCTTAGTAAGAGAACCACCACCCTTAGGAATGAATGACGGCCATGGAAAAGGACAACTTCCACCAGTGCGAATCCAAATGCATGTTGCTGAGTCTAAGGAACCAGTTCTGAAGAGGTCTCATGAACCATCGGGCAACAGGAACTACCATGGTAGTCGAGGCCATAAGCGTTAGAAGTCTCTGTATAAATCTAATTGCCTAGAACCTGCTGGAGGAAAACCTTAGCACCACTGTCAGTATGGAGGCTTCACTATTTCAAGGGCATCTGTAGGAAAACCTTAGCACCACTGTCAGTATGGAGGCTTCACTATTTCAAGGGAGGAAAGCCCTGCCCATGTGGGAGTCTAGTTGGGCCCCAAGGAAAGGAATAGATTGAGCTGGATATAGGACCAGTTTATCTCAGTTAATTTGAAGGCTCAGAGAGGTTAGGGACAGCTAAGGAAACGTGATTGCCTAGAAACTCAGGGGAAGGTGCAGTAAAAAGCCAATCCATCTGCACTGTATCCCTTCAGGCATAAGTGGACCCCTACCACAGAAATGCACTTGGTAAATGCCCTGGGGGCAGTAGCCAGACCAAAAGGGAGGATAGTGTACTGGTAGCAGTTCTGGCTGCATTGGAAATGAAGGCACTTTCTAAACCTGGGGTGTATGCCAATGTGGAAATAAGTATCTTTAAGGTCAAAATAGCAAACCAGTCATGAGGGCAGAGTAGGCTGAGAATCTCTGACAGCGTTGTCATGCAAAGCTTAGGGACCACTAGGAACTCAAGCATCAGAAGTAACTGACTCCTACAGGAGGAGATATTGAGACAAACAGAACAGGGCAGGTGAGGACCGAAGATAGTCAGGATTTGCTAAAGGTCTCCCTGGCTGATGTAAGGCCCTGTTTGGAAAGTGGGTGACTCTGCTGCTTCTTGCCCTGAGAATGTTGGGATGAGAAGTGTAAGGAAGAATCAGAGTAGGAGGAGTGTTACTGATAGGATCAAGAAGATTGAGATTGGGCCGTATGCTGTGGAAAGTAGTGGGGTTTGAAGGTCTGGGCGGGTGGACCAGTGATGCCATGGGGCCTTGCAGTGATCTTGTTCTTTCACATAATGGTCTAAGATGCCATCTGTTTGGGAGCTTAACAAGTTCCTTCCCTTAAAGGTAAGACCTTCTGTGTGGTTGGGAAGGGAAGTACAATGAAGTCAGGAGTGGCACCGCAGGGCGATAGCGGAGACGATGGGCCTACTACATGAGTCTGCAATATGTCATGCTGCGTTCAGTGGCTGCTTCCCAAGTTTTAGCCCCTCCACCTGCCAGACTTTGGCCACAGCTTTGTGCTCTTCCAGGAGGGAGTCAATGTAAGTGGCCATTCGTTCCCATAGGAACGTCAGGTAGAGTCCCGTAATGGCATTGAAGCCTGCCAGATGCAGGGTTAAGGCCAACTCTATGTAAATCTCATAGCCAAGACCAGAGAACTTGCGCCCGCCTGGTCGAATGGTGAGGAGTGAGCCTCAGAACACTGCTTGGCTGGGATGACCTCTATCACAATCGAGTTGGCAGTGGGGTGGGCAAAGAGGAAGTCACAGCCGTCTCACAAAACTTTGAACATGTGGTCAGTCTTCTTGGCCGAGGGTGAGACTGACACTGCGATCAGGAGGGTGTGGTGTACAGGGAGAAATGGTGGCGGGGAAAGAAATACCAGGTAAGGAGAAGAGGTATCAGACACCTGACTGTTGCACCTCTGGTCCTTCTAGCTAGGTCTTGGTGGGATGTAAAATCCTGCTGTTAAAGCTAGGTGGGTCTCAGGCAAAACAGCTGCTATCCATGATTTAATCCTGAGTGATAGGGCTGACCTGGAATGCATCAGCAAGAATGACTGGGGAAGAGGGGTGGAGTTAAAGTCACCCT